GGTCCTTTCCATACAGATTACGAACGTAAAGGTTCGTTTTAAGGTTGAGGTTTGCAAAGTTATTCCGCAGTATCGAACCTGTGACCTTTCGATTCTGACTCTGTTTCCGAACGACTGTGCAAGTACAGCTGGACACGTGCCGCTAAAAGCATTAATCTTTTTTTCGCTGCGACGAAATACATGCTTACCTAGGGTTTGTATTTCTCTTTTTCCCCCGCTCTCTCCTCGCTGAGCTAGGTTCTTGACGTTCTCCCGCCAGTCATTCATCCTCCTACCAGTCTTAAGGTGAAACGACACCTAAACTATCTACCAAAACTGTTTTGGATGACTATTAGTTAGTCTAACATTCCATTATCTCGTATTCTAACCGTTTAAATCGATGCTAGTTGTTGAAGCTTAGGTTATAGGTACGTAGTATTACGTAGGTCATGTTCTTCGTTTTTCCTGCTTAATCCCGCATCTGTTCCTCGTGTTCTTCATCCTTACTTCCTTTCGTCTGTTGTCTTCTTACTACCTCGTTGTTGCATATTTTCGCCCACTTTTTTGTTCTCTTCCCTAGATTAGAACCGTCATATCATCCTATCGGACGTGGTGTCGTCGCTTAAGTCCTATACATTTCTGTCCGTTCGTTATCTTTCACTATGTCATTGCTTTTTTTTTTCCTTTCGTATTTGTCCCCCTCTTTTTCCCCCCTTCCCTCCTCCCTTTACCTGAATCCCACCTTCTTTCCGTCAGTTCATTCACAAGATAGTGTGTGGAAGTCGTGTGGTTGCAAGTACCGTATAGAGCATGCAAGGTATGTTCTCTTTTTAACACCTTATACTCTCTTCCCTATCGCTCTTGTTCCTTCATCTATAGCTAGCTTCTCCCGTTCCCTTATTCATAGTTATCTTTTGTTTCTTTCTGATTCCTGCTCACTAGTTTGCATAACGTATATTTCCCTAGTTGTACATGTGAATTCTCTTGATCGGCTTATTGTTCTCTGACTCGTATTACTAGCATGCTTTTACATTTTGTTTTTTTTTTTACGGTAAGTTTGAGTTTGAACAAAGAGAGTAAAAAGGAGAGGGATAGAGAAGAAGAGCGACAGACAAAGTGGCTAAGAAAGCAAGAGAAAGCGTGAGAGGGAATGAAAGGAAACCTTCTGGTTTTTGTTAGAACATGTTCGCCATTTCGACCTTGTATCAGTGGCCTTTTTCTCGTACAATTCTTAAAATTGGGATGTTGCCAAATAACAAGAACCATTTCTATATGTCTCTTGTTCTAAGTCACCATCCCAAGTGTTCGTGAATATTTCTTCTTCTTAATCCATGTTTTGTCCACCATTTGTTCTCTCTTCCTTTTGCATGTGCACTCTTTCTCTATATGATCTTCGCTTGTTCCGATGCCTTCTTTTCTTTCTTCACCAGGTTTCACGTACGCCAGACATACTACATTCTTATTGAGCCAAGCGATTAGAAAATGTTGGATTGTGGGATTTGGTTTAGCAATTGCTATTCATAATGTTTGCACCTTCTATTTTCATTTCTTCCTAGTTGTCCCTTTTGTTTGCGTAGGGGTATGTGGTCTGTCATCGTTTGTTTGCCTTCGTGCGTGTGTGTGTATGTGAGATTTTGTGCTTGCATGCATGTCTGTCTGTTTATGTTTATCATTGCATCAACAATGCATGTCTGTGATTTTTTAAAAAAATGGCTTCAGTCTATCATTTCACAAAAGGTTCATTGGCGCACTCAGTGACTCGTGTGCGACCACTTCGAACTGGATTTGATACGGTTGACCGTTTTTTAATTTACACAGATTGTGTTGTTTCATGTGACTGTTGATTATTCAAAAGCCAAGCTATTGACCTCCCCCCCATGCTAGGCAGGGGATGGCGGTAGCTAAGTTTTGGGGTAGTTAACCACCACGCATTTTATTACTATATGTACCGTAATCACCCGGACATACCACCCGCCGAAATTGAACACCCCCCGGGTGGCTTGTGCGGGGTGGGTGCTATAGCGGACCTCGTTTCTACTATACCCCCCTTTTGGGCCGATCCGGTATAAGACCCGGGGGGGGGGGGGGGGGGGGGGGGGGGGGGGGGGGGGGGGGGGGGGGGGGGGGGGTATGTACGGAAGAAATTGCTGTTTTCGCCTAAATTTTGCGCAGGGACGTGACCGCACCAGCGAGGCTGCTAAGCCTGTTGCGGGACTCCCGCCTCTGTGACTGCATGAATCCTCGTCGAGCGACGGGGGGTGTGTTTTCGACCAATCAGGGCATGACAGAGGGCCTGTTGGAGCTTGCAATGTGGCAGCTTCCACTCTAGGGTAAGGGCGTGTGCACTATGGTGTTCGAATTTCTGTCTAAGTTCGAACTTTTAGCGAGGTTCTACTCGGTGCAAAGCGGTGAATGTTCGAACTTTGACAAATTTCGCCCAAAGTGCACACGCCCTAACGTTATCGCCTCATCCTCGGTTTTGCGCACCCAACCAACAATCTACCACCGCAGCAAGCATGTATATTTGTTCCCAACCGTTTTTGCTTTTAAAAAAATGTACATTATAAAAAGACCCGGGTGTTATGTAGCTTTTTCCCATGACAAGACCCCCCCCCCCCCTTTTTTTTATGTAGTTATCATAGCACCCTAGAGTGGTATGTCCGGATGATTACGGTATATGTGCATCATGACATATTATATTAAACATTATACATCTTATACCGTAGCATTAATCATTTATGCATTAAGCATGCATCTATTCATCATTACCATAATAGCATCTAACAGTAAAACATGCATGACGCGTCATATTAAGCATTATGCATCTTATAGCATCATTTATGCATCAAGAGTATATCTATTTATTATTATCACAATAGAACATGCAAATAGTACAGCAAATATGCACTAAAAAACTGCAAAAATAACATATGATTCTATGCACACAGTATGCGAAGGGCATTACCGTAGCTTACGAATTTTATTTTCATGATTTTCAAAAAATAATTAATCATGAAAATAAAATTTGGCAAAATCGATCGTAAAGGGTTGCTTCGCAACCCAAAAAATCCACGGACCAAATCCCTGGCAGACGAGAGGAAGTCGCGTAGAATCGAATCCTCTGCATGCTTCCCGTCGACAAAATCGACACCTTATCTCAGAGTGGCGTGCGCGCCATCTCAGTACGCTGTCCCTCTGCTTGTCGAAACCAGACTATTGAGTGTTTCGATACTCGTCTGGGTCAAGTTGTAGTAATTTACACATCGCACTTAACTACAACCAATAAGATGGGAACACACCGAAACCTTGACATAAAAATGTGAAAATGATATGAGGGTCTGAAATAGTGGTGATAAGTAAACCATATTAAAATGGGCTCATTTGCCAGACGCGTAATGGGCCATTCCACAAAAAAAACAGATTCCATGCAATATGGTAGTTCTGCACAGAATTCTGCACCCGCGTGCAGAAGAGAGCACGAAAACCATGTGAAACCTTAATGAAATGAGGTGAAATTTATAGGGGGCAGGGCCCTAGATTCGTTTTGGACCAGGCTGATCCATCAGCGTTGGTCCATAAAAAAGGCTGCTGATCAGCGTTACCTAGCAAAACCATGCTGGAAAATCAGTGTTGGTGCAAAAAGAAAGGTTGATTTTTTCCTGATATTTTGTTTGTGTTAAGGTGAAGTACACATTTATATGCTTGTATGGTTCATCTTGCAAGGAGTATCGAGATCTGGTAAATAGGGCGCGAGAGAAGCAAGTGGGTGCGAGAGAATCAAGTGGGTGCGATAGGGGCAGGTGAGCTGCAGGGAGGGGCAGGGGAGGCAGGTGGGCCCGAGGGGAGGGGAGGTGCGGAAGAAGTGGGTAGGTTGGGAGACGCGGGCTGGGGGAAGAAACAAGGTGAGCAGGTCTGAGAAAGGGGAGGGCTTGGGAGGGGAAATGTGCGACCAGTAGGGGCGAGAAATTGAGGTGGTTGGGGGGCGGCGCGAGAGAATCGGGTGGGCCGGGGGGGTGGGGCGATAGGCACATTTCAAGGATCCCAGTAGTAGACTACAGGATCAGTGTACAATCACAAAAAAGGTCTGAAAAAACAGACAAGGTACAAATAAAATGGCTGAAAAATCAGGGATAATAACCCCTTAGGGTTTCCTTCTTGTACAAAAATTTCTCTCGATAGTGATCATCCATGCCTAGTTCTTAAGATGGTATCTAGAGCAGTAAGTCCTTAGGACCTAAGATTCGGGCCCACCGGTTACCACGTTACCTCACCTACAGCCTTGCCTACCTGCCTTGCCTGCCTGCCTGCCTTGCCTGCTGCCCGCGCGCGCCTCGGCTGCACGCGCGCATCATTTTTTTTAGCGCGCCCCGCTGCTGCAGCCCGCGCGCAGCCTGCTGCAGCCTCGCACGCCGCGCTCAGTCACCCGCACGCTCGCTGCTGCCTCGCGCTAAGCCCGCAGCCGCGCGCAGCCCGCCGTCGCACGCAGCCCGCAGCCGCGCGCAGCCCGCAGCCGCGCGCAGCCCGCAGCCGCGTGCAGCCCACAGCCGCGCGCAGCCCGCAGCTGCGTACCCTGCCCGTGCGCCGCCCGTCGCCGCTGCGCCCTGCCCTACCTGTGCGCCGCCGCCTCGCCCTGCGCACTTCGCCGCCTGTGTGCCGCACGTCCACTCTAGCCGCACACTGCCCACCTTGCACCTGCCTGCCTTGCGCCTGCCTGCCTTGCGCCTTGCCTGAATTGCGCCTGCCTGCCTTGCGCCTTGCCTGAAGTGCGCTGCTTGCCTTGCGCCTTGCCTGAAGTGCGCCTGCCTGCCTTGCGCCTTGCCTGAAGTGCGCCTGCCTGCCTTGCGCCTTGCCTGAAGTGCGCCTGCCTGCCTTGCGCCTTGCCTGAAGTGCGCCTGCCTGCCTTGCGCCTTGCCTGAAGTGCGCCTGCCTGCCTTGCGTCTGCCTGCCTGAAGTGCACTTGCCCGCCTTCCTGCCGCCTCTTCCTGCTGCCTTGGCCTGCTGCTTTTGCTTGCGCTGCTATAATGGCGACACTGAATGTTCTCGCGTTTGAGCCTGACGGTCGCCCGATAGAGTTTGCCACTTGGCTTGACGACCTGCAGCTGTTTCTTATGACGGATGCCAAAGACGGCGTTTCACTGTTCGATCACGCTTCTGGCACTGCCGCTGCTCCTGCTGACAGTGCTCCTGCTCTTAACCACTCACAGTGGCAGACTCGCGATGCTGCTGTGCGCCTCGCTATCCGCAACCACCTGCCGATCACTGAGCGCGCGCATTTTAGTCAGCACAAGACTGCTAAGGCGCTGTAGTTGCGCGCTATTCCTCCCCAGCCACTGCAGCCGTAGGACGCCTCATCCTGCCCTACCTGTTCCCCGACCTGTCCTCGTTTACCACCGCTGAGGACCTCATCTCTCACCTCCGCGCTAGTGACGCCCGCTTTCGTGCCGCTCTTACCGACGAGTTCCTAGCCACGAACACCCCCCCGTTGTACTTTACCCTCTACATCCTCGTCACCCGCCTCCCTGACACTCTTAGCTCGGTCAGGGACCATTTCCTCGCCAAGGACCCTACCACTATCACTCTAGCCGACTTCGAGCAGCAGCTCCTAGCAGCAGAGAAGAACATCCTCGCTGTAGGTGCTGCCCGTGGCACTCCTCGCACTCCCCTCTTTGAGGGGTGCTCCCCCTCCCCTCTTGCCCCCTCCTACGCCTCAGCTGCTGCTGCAGTCGACCTCCTCGGTGCTGAGAAGGTCGCAGCGGCTTCCGCTCCTAGTGGGAAGCGCGGCGGTGGCAGGGGCGGCAAGGGTGGCAGGGGTGGTGGAGGTGGCGGTGGAGGGAGCGGTGGTGGAGGCGGCGGGGGTGGTGGAGGTGGTGGGGGTGGTCGTGGGGGTGGAGGAGGTGGGTGGGGCGGTGGTGAGACCGGGAGTGGTGGAGGTGGCAGCGGCGGTAGTGGGGGAGGAGGCAGTGCTGGTGGCGGTGGTGGGTGGGGGCGGGGGTGGGACCAGCCAGAAGGGGAGCTCCAGTGGGGGCCAGCAGCAGCAGCAGCAGCGCCAGACCCCCTCTTCTCAGCAGCTCCATGACTGGTATGCCGGGCGTGGGGCGTCTGGGGGTCCTGGTCGCTGCCCCTATGTCATTCTCACTGGCCCCCGCAAGGGTCGCCCATGCAACGGCTTTCACACTGAGTACCGCTGCTTTGCTCGGCTCAGCGACGCCTGGCGCGCCAAGTTTCCTGATGCTACTGAATTCCCCAACTGGGCAGATCTGCTTAGGCGTGATGTACCTATTGATGATCTTGACTATGATGCAATCCTTGCTGCCATGTATGCATTGACTATTAGTGCTGAGGGTGATTGTTACTTGTGTGTCCCGCCTGACCCAGGTATAGAGACTGCAGCCCTAGGTGCTAGTGAGTCTGCCCTCTCTGGTACTGCGTCAGCTCAGGCCTTGCACACGTTTACACTTGACTCTGGTGCTTCTCGCTGTTTCTTTCGCGACAGTACCACCGTCACCCCCCTCCCTGCACCTGTCCCTGTCTCACCGGCTGACCCCTCTGGAGGCCAAGTGCTTGCACGAGCCACGACTGTGCTTCCGTGCCCGGCGGTCCCGTCAAGTGAGCTGTCAGGTCTCCACGTTCCCTCGTTCTCTACAAACCTGGTGAGCAACGCCGTCCTTCAGGATCACTGGGTTGACACCTGGACTCCTGGAGGGCAGCGTGTGGCGATCTGCACTTGCTCTCGGACTGGCCGCCACCTGGCCACGTTCACTCGTGAGCCGGGGTCCAGTCTGTACACCCTCACCACTGTTTCACGCTACACCCCTTTGTCTCCACAGCTGTACGCGTCTGCTCAGGTAGCTACCCAGTGTGAGTGTCGCCGCCTGTCGCACGACACTCTCTTGTGGCACCACCGCCTTGGTCACCCCTCCCTGCCCCGCCTTCGTAGCATGCACTCTCGCTCCCTGGTCTCTGGTCTTCCCAGGTCTCTGCCTGCCCTCCCTCCCTCACCTGCGCCGCCCCTCATTCCTTGCGTCGAGGGGCGGCAGCGCGCCGCTCCTCACTCCTCCTCGTTCCCTGGACGTGTGGGGCCCCGCCCGCGTCCAGGGGCAGGGCCGCGAGCGGTACTTCCTGCTGGTTGTCGACGACTACACACGCTACACCACGGTCTTCCCCCTGCAGCGCAAGGGTCAGGTCCCTAATGTACTGATCCCCTGCATCTGTGCTGTTTGTCTCCAGCTCCGCGAGCGGTTCCAGTCGGACTTTCCTGTCTTGCGTCTGCACTCTGACAGAGGTGGTGAGTTCTCCTCCGACCTCTTGGCAGCCTTCTGTGCGGAGCACGGCATCCGCCAGACGTTCACGCTTCCGGCCTCTCCGCGGAAGAATGGGGTTGCTGAGCGCTGCATTGGCTTAGTCATGGAGGTCGCTCGTACCTCCATGATCCATGCGGCTGCCCCCCATTTTCTGTGGCCGTTTGCGGTCCGGTACGCTGCGCATCAGCTCAACCTCTGGCCCCGTGTCTCCTTGTCGGAGACCTCGCCCACACTGCTGTGGATGGGGGAGGTTGGCGATGCGTCGCGTTTCCAGGTCTGGGGTGCTCGTGCCTTTGTCCGCGATACCACCACGGACAAGCTCTCCGCTCACGCCATTCCCTGTGTCTTCCTTGGTTTTCCCTTTGACGCGCCTGGCTGGCAGTTTTACGACCCCGCCTCGCGCCGTGTCTTTGCGTCTCAGGACGTCACCTTTGACGAGTCCGTTCCCTTCTAGCGACTCTTTCCCTACCGTACTTCCCCTCGCACCCCCCCGCCGCTCTTCCTCGCTCCAGGTCCTCCCCAGGTAGACCCCCTCCCCGCTCCAGGTCCTGCTCCTTCAGGTGTTTCTCAGGTAGACCCTCCCGTGCCTGCGCCTGTTGAGGTCACTGGTGACTCCGGTCCTGCTGGGGGTGGCGCTGTCTCTGGAGGTGCGGAGCCTGGGGGTGCGGAGCTTGAGGGTGCTCAGCCTGGGGGTGCAGAGCCTGAGCGTGAGGAGCCTGGGGGTGCTGAGACTGGGGGTGCAGAGTCTTGGGGCGTTGCGCCTTTGCGTGAGGAGCCTGAGGGTGCGGAGCCTGGCGGTGCTGCGCCTACGCGTGAAGAGACTGGAGGTACTGCGCCTGGGGGTGCTGCGTCTGGGGGTGCTGAGCCTGCGTGTGCGGAGTCTGGGGGTGCTGAGTCTGGGGGTGAGACGCCTGAGGGTACTGAGACTGCTGGTGCGCGGTCTCCTTGGAGCAGATGCCTTCGTCCGCGTGTACCTCTCACCTCACAGCAGCTGCACGACTGGTACGGTCGCCGTCAGTGTCGCGCTGCTGGAGCTCGGAGTACTGCTGCTGGAGGTGCTTCTGTTGACGTTGCTAGTCCCGGAGGTGCTCGTACTGGAGGTACTGGAGCTGCTGGGGCTGGAGGCGCTGTGCTTGTGGGTGCTGCTGCTGGAGACACTGAGGCTGGAGACCCTGGGACTGGAGGTGCCGGTTCTGGGGGTGCTGCTGCTAGTAGAGCTGGTCCTGGAGGAGCTGGCGCTGGGGGTTCTGGAGCTGCTGGAGGTGCTGGAGCTGCTGGTGCTAGTGGCACTGCACAGCCACGCCGGTTCTTCGCTCCACCGTCTCCGTCGTCTCAGCCACCACCTGACTCTGTGCTTCGCCAGGTTCTTAGCCTACCGTCGTCTACTGGTCTTCCGTTATAGCCTGGCTCACCGCTGCCTGCTCCTTCTCCTTACACTGAGCAGACAGGGGGTCTTGCTGAGCGTCGTGAGCCTGCGTCGCGTCCTGTCTCGTCTGTCCGCTCTGGTCGTTCCGGTCGTCGTGTTCCTCGTTCGCGTCAGCCGGCTGTCCCCGGCACACACCTCGTAGTCCGTCGTCCTTCCTCTGCTCCGCAGCCTGTTCCTCTGCCGTCTCCCCCTGCGTCCTCTCTGCCTGACGTTCCGGACCCTGAGTCTAACCGGTTTCGTGCTGAGCACCCTACTGTCACGCGTCTGTTAGCCACTGTTGTCACTGACCCGTCGTTTGAGTCTGCTGCTGCATCTGCCTTGGTCGTTAAGCTTCTAGACTTTGCTGCTGCCTGTCATCTAGACTACGCCGCTAGTCTCGTTGCTGAGTCTGAGTCTGTCTGTCCTCCATCCGTCGGGGGTGAGTGTGCTCTTGGCACGGACGTCTTTGAGGACAGGCAGGAGGACCTTGAGTGTCTTGCGGCCGCTGCGCCTCATCTCGTGGCCATGCTGCTTGCCCCAGAGGGAGACCCGGATGCACCAGACATCCCTACCCCGCGATCTTACGCTGAGGCGATTGCGGGTCCCTACTCCTCTCAGTGGCAGACAGCCATGGACGCAGAGATGGCATCCTGGAAGTCCACAGGCACTTACGTCGACGAGGTTCCCCCTCCAGGGGCGAACATCGTCGATGGCATGTGGATTTTCAGGGTGAAGTGGCCGCCGGGTTCTCCGCCTATCTTCAAGGCTCGTTACATTGCTAGAGGCTTCAGTCAGCGAAAGGGAGTTGACTTCTTCCAGACCTTCTCTCCCACCCCGAAGATGACTACTCTTCGGGTGCTGCTGCACGTTGCCGCTCAGCGTGACTACGAGCTTCACTCTCTGGACTTCAGCACAGCTTTCTTACAGGGCAGCCTGTACGAGGAGATCTGGCTGCGCCGCCCACCTGGCTTCACTGGGTCGTTCCCTCCTGGTACCCAGTGGAGCCTCCGGCGGCCAGTCTACGGTCTCCGCCAGGCGCCTCGTGAGTGGCACGACACACTGAGGACTACACTTGCGGCTCTTGGGTTTGCGCCTTCGACAGCTGACCCGTCTCTGTTTCTGCGCACCGACACTTCACTGCCGCCGTTCTACATCCTCGTGTACGTCGACGACTTGGTTTTTGCCCGCTACGTGGCTCCTAATTGGCACCGAAAGGTGCACATGGATGCTGCAAAGAGGGTACTGCGTTACTTGTGCAGTACATCGAGCATGGGGCTCGTGCTTGGAGGGCGGAGTGAGGTGGTCCTCACTGGGCACTCAGACGCCTCTTGGGTTGACGACCAGGCTACACAGCGGTCGTCACAGGGTTACACTTTCAGCCTTGGCTCCGGTTCTGTTTCTTGGCGTTCTACTCGTTCGTCTTCTGTTCTCAGCTCCAGTTGTGAGGCTGAGATCTACGCCACCGCCATGGCTGCTCAGGAGTTACGCTGGCTCACCTACCTGCTAACCGACTTGGGAGAGAGGCCTCGTTCTCCTCTAGTTCTGTACGTCGACAACAAGGCCGCCATTGCCTTGTGTGAAGAGCACAGACTGGAGCACAAAACGAAGCACATCGCTCTGCGTTACTTCCTGGCTCGAGAGTTGCAGCAGCGGGGTCAGCTTCGCCTTGCTCACGTGGCCACTCAGGCCAACACTGCTGATATATTCACCAAGGCACTTCCGTCTGGTGACCATCAGCGCTTTTGCACTTTGTTGGGCCTTGTGCCTACGTTTCCACACTTGTTGTAGACTCTGCTTGTACTGTGATCTATATATATATTCCTGCATGTTTGCTCTTGCTGGGTAGAGATCACTGTACTGTTCTAATTGCATATATACCTCTGCATGTGAACTGGCCTTGTGGCCGTTTGCTTGTGCTCAGTGTGTGTGGTGACGTTGTGATCCACCCTGAGCTTGCTTTGCTTTTCTTGACTGGTCTTGTGACCTCTTGCTCTCCCCCACTTTGCCTATGGGGGTGTGTCAAAATATGTATATGTTATATTTGTGGGTAGGCTGTAGTGGGGTAGATACTGTGGGGTATAACCCCTTAGGGTTTCCTTCTTGTACAAAAATTTCTCTCGATAGTGATTATCCATGCCTAGTTCTTAAGAAAGAGAGCATGAAAACCATATCAAACCTTAATGGAATGAGTTGAAATTGATAGGGGGGTCAGAAATACATGTGTGAGAGTGCCCTATGTAAATGGGCTCACTTGCCCAAGGAGAAGCTGGTGATTTCACTTGCAAGCTGGTTCCAGGCAGTTCTGCACAGAATTCTGCACCCACCTGCAGAAGAGAGCATGAAAACCATATCAAACCTTGATGAAATGAGGTGAAATTGATAGGGGGGTCAGGAATAGATGTGATGAGAGTGCCCCATCAAAATTGGCTCATTTGCCCGAGGAGAAGTGGGTGATCACTCTAGAAACCTGGTTCCAGGCAATTCTGCAACCGCCTGCAGAATTGAACATGAAAACCACACCAAAGCTTAATGAAATGAGGTGAAATTGATAGGGGGGTCAGGAAAAGATGTCATTTGAGTGCTCTTTGAAAATCAGCTGATTTGCCCCAGCAAAGATGGGTGATTTGACTCTGAACATCACATTAGGCGGCTCTGCACTGAATATCTTGCAAGAAAAACACACCAAAGCTGTGTGCAATGAGCTTTGAATGTTATGGGGGGCTGGAATAAGTGTCAAAACACTAACAGAACAAAAACAACTGGTCACCATAAAACACATGTGCGTGATGCTCATAGAATGACACTGCAACTGCTAGGAGTAACCTTAGTTGAGCCAAAAGTGACAAAATGAGTGATTTTGGCAAAAAAAAAAAAAAAAAAAAAACATGTATGAGGCGGAATGGTAATGGTAATGAGGTGGAATAATAATGGTAATGAGGCGGAATGGTAATGGTAATGAGGCGGAATGGTAATGGTAATGAGGTGGAATGGTAAAGGTAATAAGGCAGAATGAAAATTCTAATGAGGCGGAATGGTAATGGTAACGAGGCAGAATGGTAATGGTAACGATCGGAATGGTAATGGTAACGAGGCGAAATAGTAATGGTAACGAGTTAGAATGGTAATTGTTACGAGGCGGAATGTCAATGGTAATGAGGCGGAATGGTAATGGTAATGAGAGGGAATGGTAATGGTAATGAGGCGGAATGGTAATGGTAATGAGGCGGAATGGTAATGGTAATGAGGCGGAATGGTAATGGTAATGAGGCGGAATGGTAATGACATCAAGGAGATGCAGCAAATCTAGATTTCACTCAAAATGGACCACAAAATATAGAGTTATGAGCCAAAGCATAAGGAATTATGACTTAGCCATTTTGGCATTCTGCTTGTCTGAATTACAACATAGTGTAAACAACATTGGTTATACATAAGGACGCGGCACCTGTTTTGACTTTGCCAGGATCGATCGTGGGAGGGGATCAATGTTCCGCTTGTACAGTGTATTGACGAGGTCGTCAATGACTGGTATCCGTTTTTCGCATAAAGTCGAGATTGTACAGTAAACTGGTCACCAAAATGGTGGCACCCGCAGCCCGCACGTTCGATGTGCCATGGTGCACACATCGATCTTGCGTTTGGGTTGGCGGGAGGGCACATCGCGCCACAGGTGACAGCCGCGATCGATCGGCGTCGCCCACAGTCGCAGGCAAACAATGATTGGATAACGACAAGCTGTGCTTTGCTCTGAATGGTTAACGACTAAGTTACTGGTGTATTTCGCTGCAGAACCTACCTGCCCGACCTTGCAATTTAGATCCTGGCACCCATGGCTCGACGTGTCTATCACACTACAAATTTGCAGTGTGTGCACATCGATGTGCCGATCGATGTGAGAGAATCGGTGTACCGGCTTCGATCTCCCTCGATCCTGGAAAAGACAAAACATGTGCCGCGTCCTAAGAACTGCTGAGCAGTGGTTGCGACGTCGCTTTCGCACGACCGTCGATAATCGCCCACCGGTAGCGTTACTCCGCTTGCGCCCATTTCGTTGCGCCTTCAGGTGGTTTGGATTATACAAGGCCCAACCCCTTTTTGCGCCCAATCCGAGTCCAATCCGTCTCGCCACGGGCAAAAAGGAGTTTCGCCAAAAAAACTCAATCCCGGTCGAAGCAGAGGATTTGAGTGCTGCTTCCGCCATTGGCACGCCCTTCCCCCTTCAGGTGGTTTGGATTTCTAGGTCCCTGTTCGATTTCACAGCGGGGTTGCGGGTCGGCGGACGTGCGCTCGGCCCAGCCCTGGGCCAGGCTGGCGGGCCCGCACGCGCGGCAGTTGGCCGCCTCGTCACCCCCGGCTCCGACGACCCAATTCCGCTAGGATGTTCAGCTATAACCTGTCCAAACGTTTTTCAACGTGTAATGAACGTGACCTCCACGAGTCGTAGCGCTTAATGAAACCAGATCCGACGAGACTGCCATAGCCAGCCATTTCGTGCCAGTCGCCACGTAGTAACCCACTTCCACATCCATGTCGCTTCCAAGTCAACTACAGAGCTTTCTCGTAACCTAATGTTACACTAAGTCCTTATCTCGCTGGATTCGCCAGTTTGACGTTTGTTACTAATGGAGGCAAATGGCGGGGAAAAGAAGGGAGGCGAGAGAACAGCGGGGAACGGGAACCGGAGTGAGGAGGGGGAGGAGAATGGGAGAGAAGATGCGGAGAGGAGCGATACCGGGGAGGTAGAGCAAGCGGGAGGGTCGGATGGGGTGAGCGAAGAGGAGGAAGGGGATGGCGGAGGAGGAGCGGAAGGAGGGGAGGAATACGCGGACG